AGACTTTAAAAGAGAGACGACTTAGATATATTGTAATCAGTGCCTGCTGTCCATTCTTATTATGATTATGCATAATAAAATACAATGTATCGTTTAAATTAAATTAAGACTTTGAAAAATGAATAAAAAATTAAATTTCTAGGTACACAAAAAATGAACTTATTCTACACGTAGTGGTACAAAATATATTATAATTTCGTTTTTTTCCTCATCGTTATAAATAAACGTAATTATCTTGACTATATCATCAATATATATACAACACATTTTTGAATGTTTGTTTGTTTTGTTTGCTTTTTGTTTTTGTTTTTTGTTTTTGTTTGTTTGTTTTTATATTTTCTTCCTTTTTAATTTCTAACTCAGAAAAAAATTTAATATTGAGGTGAATCACAGAAAGATACAAACCATTTTAGAGCAAAAAAATTATTTACTGTGAATATAAGGGCCTGTGTGTTGTATATATATTGATAATATATTCAAGACAATTACGTATATTTATAATGATGAAAAATTATGAGTGCATCAAAGAATTTCGTTTTGGTAGATAAATAATGTTTTTACTCTACTTTCTTTCAAAACACTGTGACCTAATATTATGCCTTTGTCAAAGTCATAAAATTATGTCAACGTTCTCCAAGGATTGGCTGTTGAACTTACAAAGATGACTGACATGAAATTTTATGACGCATTTTCTATTTACAATGTATTGTTGTTTTTATGACAGAAGTATTTCTCAAAACACCAATTCCCCTACATTTTTTTAACCTGGTCTATTTTTTTTTTTTTTTTTTTTTTTTTTATTTTTTTTTTTTTTAGCGAAAAGCATTATCATCTTTTTAATCATACATGTATCATGTTGTAATTACGCCTTTCTAGCCGTAAGATGTATCATGATCGAACAATATTACATATACTACTATAATATTCTATGTTGTCTGTTTACATTTGCTTTCTATACAATATATGAACAAAATAGCAATGCTTCGAAATCAAATAACAACAAATGAATTGGTAAATATAGTAATGAAAAAAAGAAAAGAAATACTCAGTAAGCAATCATATATCGAGCCATCTTTAAAAATCATTTGTTTGCCCTCTCATTACCAAGTGGCTAAAAATGACCCGACTCAAAACTTATTTTAACCTTCAAGGCCACGACATTTTTTTTATTTTATTTCCTGATTTTTTTTTTCATCCCGTCAACAAACATTTTAAAACTTTCTGGAAAAAAACATTTTCTAATCTACCTACCGACCAATATTTTTACCCTGAGTCGGGAGAGGGCAAACAAACATTATTTTAAAGATGGTCTCGACTAAAATGCAATCGTGGATATCTATAATGGTAAAACATTTTGTTATTTTGAATTTGTTAGTAAAAATCGAACACGTACGAGGGGTTGTCAAAAAGTCTGTGAATTGTCACAAAATTTAAACTGGTTCGTCAATGATTTTTACACATTTATTCAATATTTTCTTTTCTGCACAATAAATAATCTATAAGACAAACGGTTATATTTTGATAAATGGTGAATGTTCCATAAGCAATAGTATGACCGCAAAGCGCAGTCTTAAAATCAATATATTTCTACAGTGCGTTTAATGTAGAAAATGCATTGATGTGAATCTTATACGGTACCAATTTTGATGCACCAGAAGCGCATTTCCACACATTATGTCTCTTTACTGATGCTCATGCCGAAACGTTGGAAACCCGAAATATTTAATTTAAAAAAACTTTGAAGAGCTGAAAAAGGGGATGCCAAAGACTGGAGCCAAATACATCGAAGGATCAGAGCTACGCATGAGGGAGATGATCCTTTATTTTGAAATAAATTTCTAAAATTTACCACAGCAATTAAATATATATCCATATTTTCAAGCTAGTACCGAAGTACTTAGCTACTGGGCTGTAGAGACCCTCGGGAACTAACAGTCCACCAGCAGAGGTCTCGATTTGATATAAACATTTGTGGTTTAATCTTCATGTACATTCACTTGTGTAATGTGACACAATTTTTCTGATAATTTACAATTTTTTTAATGTCATTTTGTAAGTTCGATGAGATTCTATTCTAAATGTAATAGAAAAAGCTCAAAAAGCTACCAAAATGGGATTGTGTGTCTTTGTTTTTGCCACAGTGTACCCTTTTATATGGAAAAACTTACATAGACTTACATAAACCTTGGAAATGCTTGAATCTGTTTAAAATGGCACAAAAGATTTAGAGATAAGAGAAATACATTTAATGAGGATTCGCGCAGGGTTTTCAAAGTCAGTCACGTCAAAATCTTACATTGTTCGCACGCAGTGAGCATTTTCAGCTTATGTTTTCTGAAATTTCGATAGTTAAAAATTAAAAAAAAATAAATGTTTTGATGCATTAAGTATATCAAACAAATCTAAGAACAAATTTTGCAGAGTGTTTTTTTTTTTTTTTTTTTTTTTTTTTTTTTTTTTTTTTTTTGTACAATGCAGGTCTTTATCTTGGAGTCTTCAAATTTCATATGTATCTTAATTTACTACAGTCTTTTGAAGCGTAAATAATTTTCATCTCTGCATATCCCCGCCCCACGTAACTAAAATATATTTTCCCAAAAATATGTGATTTCCCCCCATCAATTTCATCTGTATCTGTGAGTTCAGTGTTTGTTGTTTTCCAGATTTACAATTTGGCCATACACGGTATAACTGAAAAATCATTTTACCGTATATGGCGAAAATGTACAACTGAAAAACTACACATACTGATTGCACAGGATGATATGAAGATTGAATAGATAGGAAATTCACACATTTTCAAGAAAATGTGGACTCATTAATTATATTTTGGTAATTGGGGTTGGGGTTGATGCAGAGATGTACGTTATCCGCGCTTAAGGTACCTTTTCTTCTTAAGGTAATTTTCTAAAAGAAAGCATCAGAAGAAAAACAACAAAAAAAAGTAATTAAACAAACAGATTTTACATGAAAAAGGTGAAGACAACAGTGATCGATCTTTCAAAACAACATATACAATACAAACTGTGAATAAGGTATAAAACATGGAACCCTGAAAATTCCAGAGGTGGGATCAGGTGCCTAAGAGGAGTAATCATTCCCCGGTGACCAGCCACAACCGCCGTGAGCACTATGTCTGCCTGTAAACTCTGATTCTATTGTAGGGTTTAAATTTTGTTTGAAACAAAATTACTCCACTCTGACATGCAATTTTTTTATGAATGCAACTAATTCTATGCGTCTCATACAAAGCTAAATATACATTGGCCTAGTCAAAATAAAAGAGAAAACTTACTGAAAATATTTATACGAAAACCAAGAGAAAAAACTGAAACATGTAAGATTATATAAATAGTGCACGTTTTTTAGGGTAACAGTTGAAATTGACACCCCAAGGAAAACCATTGTCAACCGACGCGTCAGCGGAGGTTGACAATGGTTTTCCGAGGGGTGTCAATTTCAACTGTTACCCTAAAAAACGTGCACTATTTATTTTATTATACTGAATGTCTTATTGATTTCGGATATCATACAAAAAATTCGGAGATCGTCGTTAAGTTCACGCTTAGAAAGCTTTCACACTCCCCACTTCTATTTTTTCAATAAGAAAGCTTCGGAAAAGATTTACCAACCTCTTTTTTGTTTGTTTGCTACTCAAAAAGTCCTTTATCATCTAAAGTTTGCACTCGCAAGGATGTTTCGTCTGTCGTTTGTTGTTTTCAAGTAAGCTACATCGGACGCAAGCTTTTATTGACGTTGTTTATTCGACTTCTTTCAAACGCACAACCGACGTTTTGAGAATTCTACGGTGAACCGTACGCGCATCATTTGAACGCATGTGATATTTTCGTAATGTTACCCGTTGTCAAGTGTGTTGCTAATGCTGAGGGTAACATTACGGATTGTTAAATGCCTCTAAACCAATCAGATTTTAGTATTTAACATGAAAGTATAATAAATGAAAATAATACATTCAGTAAAAGTAAATAGTCTATGAAATTTCGATTCAGTAAATAAATTAATGTACTAAGATATAGAATACTTCACACATACTTGAAGAGAAATCTGCACTTTTCTTCGACTTCTTTTAACATTCTATGAGATTTCAATGTTTATTATCTGAAAGGGCTTTGACATTCATGATCAATATAAAAGATTTTCTTTTCTTAATGTTCAATTAAAAAAATGTTTAAAAAATAAAACTAAGAAAAAATGCTAAATTATCTTTTACATACCGGTATATCTTTTTACAACACGACGAGGTAAATATTCTGTTTCGTGTTTAGATATTTTTTTTTGGTATCATACTAATATAAAACTTGAAAAAAAAGAGTTTTCACAGCAAGAGAAAAGAATGAGGACTTTCTTTTTTCGGTCAAGTAAAATTTCAGTCATTACCACCTATGTCGTTCTAATTAATATTCAAAATAAAGAGAATAAGAAACATGCTGATTGACAATTTTCGTGATGTCTTATTCGGTCGGATAAATTTCACCTCAGACTCTTGCGATCGGTCTGATTACCTTCTATTTTGAACTAAAAAAATATTTGTCATAGGTAAATAAGTAACTTAACCTCCTCATAAAACTTAATAATGCAAGCAAAAACAAAACAAAAATATGTTACTCGTCATTGCCTATAGGTTCCCCCGACTGTTGATGCTAAAGAATTGACCTGTCAGGTTAAATCACGACTTTTTAGCCGTAAGATGTATCAGTTGTTTTGAATTTTACAATCCCATCTATTTAAATCAACCAAGGCTAATTACTCAATTAGTCAAAATTAGGTACCATTTGTGTATATATATTTTCGCAGTTATATTGTCTCCTCACAATTTTTGAATTTTATAACTGAAAAGGTAAGGACGAGTTTGAATCTTTCAGATATTCAGAATTTTACATTTCTTCTTAAAACAAATTACTCTAACTAAAAAGATTTTAACTTATAAGTAAGTTTTGGTTGGATATTTTAATTCATGACAGATTTTCTGTTTATTCAATAGCTGAACTTTAGGATCTCATTATTCGAGATGATGTTTTTGATAATTGCAATCGTCTGCGGATTCTGCACAGCTGAACTGATAGAAAAAGAAAAAACCGAACGTAAATATGATAGTTTTTACTTCATTTTTTTCTCAGAACATGAAATACTAGTATATTTTATTTGACCAATTCCGAATTTTTAAAATCTTTTTACCTATCATGACTTGTGAATTAAAGATTCAATTGATATTTCAAATATATTTTGATTTTGAATTCTAATTTTCAGAGGTTGACCTCAAGGCTAGAAATGATCTTGCTCTTTTGGTAAATAGTGAATATGAAAATACCAGTGCAAAAGCTCTACAAATGCTAACAACATGCAATAATTCCGTCAATGCTGCGATAGCGTACTGTTCCAGTAACTGGTAGGCTATCATATATTATGTTCATTAATTTCTGATAAGAAAGCTTAAAGACTATTACTCTTATAATAAATTGTCAAGTTAAATGACAAAGTCCATGCATATACAGTAATTGTACCGTAAAGCAAAATTACTATAGGCTAAGATAATGGACAGGGAGTTTGTGCATTTACATGTATATTTTTGGAGAAAAAGATTTAAAATAGATGAATTAAATTCAACAACTTTGTATTTTGTTTTATAAGAACTATTTATTTTTGTTATTAAACAGCCAAAGTAGTGGTGGAGGTGGTGGGGATAAGTTCCAACAGCTGCGTAAGTTTTTGTTTTTTTTTTTTTTTTTTTTTGTTTTGTTTTGTTTTTCTTTTTGTTTTTGTTTTGTTTTGTTTTGTTTTTGTTTTTGTTTGTTTGTTTGTTTGTTTTTTTTTTTGTAAAGGAAAATGAAGCAGACATTCTGTTGTTATATCAATTAAGTAAGAGATACTGCTTTTCATCTGAGGTGTCTAAAATGTGAATAATTTTAAAAAATACGAGAATCAAGAAAGACGAATTGGAGAAATTTATTAATTGTTTTGATTAGAGCTTTATTATTCATACTTCCATTCCTGATCACAATATGTTGTTGAATTATTTTTGTTTCCTTTCTAACCTGTTTGTGTCAATTATCTTTTCATTCATCTAGTTCAAGATGTTGATAACACATTCAAGAAAATTGGAGGTAAATATTTTTTCGACAACTTTTCCATTAACATCTTCATGTAAAAGATAACTTAAGGATTCATTATTTCAGTGTTATAAGTGATTAGTTTAGAAATGCAAAAACATTAATGATATTTGTCTGTTTATGAAGATGACATCAAGAAAGTGGGTCCGGCGATCGAAACAGAGTTTAACAAATTCAAAGGTAAGGTGACTTTTTATTTCATTGAACTTTGAACTTTACGAGATCTACATGAACGTATTTACTGTTAACAATCTTGTCCTTATAATAACCTCTCTCTCTCTCTCTCTCTCTCTCTCTCTCTCTCTCTCTCTCTCTCTCTGTGGTATATAAACCAGGTCTAATAATATGAATTTTTAATTACTTTAGCAACCGTCGATGCTCAGGCAAAGAAACTCGGCACTTGTAAGTTACAAAAAAGTCATCATTTCATTTCTTTTAAGCATTTAAATGTATAACTAAAGTTAAAGAATGAATTCATGTTAGTGAAGAGTGTAAATGTAATGCGTTTTATATATTGCCTGAATTTTGTTTTTTATCATCCTGCGTGACTGATTAACATTGAAATTTTAAATTTCAGCAATTAAAAATTGGGCAGATAAACAGCAGTGGGCAAAGGACGCCGCAAGTGAGTATCATATTTTATGATAGGGATAAATTTATTTTGCCACCGTTCACTTCTTTTTTAATATTCCTTTCCGTTTTTGTCATTAAAAAATGAATTATCAAAAAACTGTCTCAAATTATATTTTATACTAAAATCAGAGATCGATAATAGTCTTTTATTATACAATTATGAAGTTGTGTTTTGTTTTGTTTTTAATTTTTTTACAGAATTCACAGAAAATCTCGCCAAAAATATTGGGGGTAAGGAGATATACTGCTTAATTTTAAATGACTTATAACTGTGAATATTTTGTTGAAAAGTATATATTCTTTGATAAAACTATTATTTATTCAAATTTTATTATATGGATATCAGTACTCCTCTCTCTCTCTCTCTCTCTCTCTCTCTCTTCATTCTATATATACTAAATAATGATTTATGGTACATACATGCTTAAATGTACTTATATTATATATACCCTGATCCGTTGGGAGAACGGTAATACATGTAGCTAGGTATTCATGTCTGCTTTGCGCATTAATGATATAATGAATTGTTTCAGCTACAATTGCCTCAAAAGCAAAGGAATGGTTCAATTCCGTCAAAAGTAAGTTCGTCCACCCTCTACTTGGTTATTGGTATTTATAAGTACTTGTAAATTATGATATATATCATAATCTTTGTGAAGTTAGTATTTCATCTTAACAAAGCTTAAGAAATTTACTTAATGTGATTTACATAATTGTCTTTAATTTAAATTAAAAAAAAAACTTCAAGCAGAAATGTAATTTTTCGCATACTTAATATTTGCTTCTTTCTATCTGTGCTACAATGCTGATAATTTGACACTCAGTTATAGAGCTGTTTAAGTTAATTATTTTAATTATGCTGCAAGACTGGGGTAAGAACACACTTAACAAAATACCCGGTGTTAACCTGAGAAGAAAGAGGGCTGTGACATGCGATACCTGTACTCAAATAGCTAATGCAGCAGAAGACAAAATGTTGGAAACTGGTAAATACAAGAAATTATCGTACACATTTCATAATGCTTTTATTGCTATTTAAAAACACTATATTTTTGGACGTTACACATACATGTATTGTTGAATAGTATTTATACGTACAGTTATGCTGTGCAAATCTTTACTTCATTTGTACAAAGTTTTGTAAAAATTATGTTCTTTATGACATTTAAAGTACTATATTTAGTTCATTTTTGTAATTTGTAATTTTTATTTATTTATTTATTCATTCATTCATTTATTTATTTATTGGGAAAAACATGTGCATGAAGGAATATTCCTTAGGTCCAAACCTTTATTGCATGATACTTAAGCTTCTCTGTGTGTTTACATTGAAATTACACATTTTTCTTAACTATAGTTTGTGGTGCAGACACTATGGCAGAGATATTTGTCCTGACAACACTTTTAGACAGAATGTCCACAATGATGGCCTCTATGGAAGCGACACTTGTCAATGAGGTATGTTTTAAGTCCTGTCTTCAGAAAGTTTGAATAATGACTTCATATGCATATAGATAATCGTAAATCTGAAACTTGAGAATTTTGTAAACGTAGTCTTTTGGTAATGAGAAGCTGAGCTGCAAAATTCAATTTTTTTTTCAGAACATATATAAATATCAACCTGTTACACAATATTTCCCCATCCCCCAATACAATTCAGAATACCCAAAGACATCATTTCTAACTAACTGTACATTTTTAAAAAAGTTGTAATATGCAATTTTTTTTTTTAAATATGAAGTTTCTGACTTCAGAATACCAAATTACAAATTATTAATTCCTAAGCTTAACTATATATTATTATTGATGATTAAGTTCTACATGATGACGCTGCAATGTTGAATTTTGTTTTGTAGCTGGATGCCGACACCGCGAAAACCACAGTCAAGTCTTACGTTCCTCTTGTATTGACGGCACCACTGACCAGCGTTAAATATACAGTGAACGGAACAGCCAGTGTTGTCAGCGGAGGCGGGAAAGAAATCAACCTTGGAAACACCGACGACATTGCGGATGTCGTTGCTGGCATTATTTACGCTGATTATTTCAAAATTTAAAGCATTTTATGGACTTCCGGTCTTTGTATTTACATAATATCCGGAAGTTCTGTCTTTAATAAATCGCTTTTCCTGTTTTATTTATGTATTTATTATAAATTTTAAATCTTAATTGGAATAATTGTGTTGACCAATGTGACAATGAACAATAAAATGGCAATTTCCTATGCTTAAATTGTGTCTACTTTGTACACTAGCACCACAATTTTAGGGCATATATTAACCCTTGGTGTTCTATGTTAAAAGCTACATGTGGTAAATTTTTAAGTTGGTAATTCCAATTTCAATGTTGATAATTCCAAATTCAAAGTTTATTTAAAGTTTATTTCAATTTAAAGTTTAAAAAGCCATCTTTAGAGTTGGAATTACCAATTTTAAAGTTGGGAAAGCCGATATTACAGTTGAAATCACCAACTTCAAAGATAGCAAATCAAGATATATGTAGGAAAAGCTAAATTAATTAACCAGCTCTAAAATTGGAATTAACAACAAAGGATATCACGTGACACTAATACGCTTCCCTACAAGGTTGCACCGACCATAAATATTTTTAGATCCAATATTATAAGCTGGAAATATTTCTAAACTGTCCTTTATTGAGCTATTATTGTATTTTTTAATTAATTTTCCTCGTTGAATAGTTTCCACAATAACGTATTAATAGATTTATCTAGTGTTGACTCTTCATTACAAATAAGAAATAATTTTGGTTAACAGTATTACATTAAAAAAAAAAACTAATAACAAACGGGAAATGTAGTTATATACATATTTCAAAAAAAACATACTGTGCAGTTGTTAATGGATAATGGAGTTGTGTAGGTCAAACAACTTAATAATTTATTAAATCAAGGTATCTGATTAAGTTTTTATAAATTAAATTTGGCATCGTTGTTACACTCGGCACCGTGACCATCCCCTGAAATTGACAGGCGATTCTGTGATTCTTCAAGCAGCGGTTTGGCAGATTTCCTTACCAGGTAGCTCACTTGGGACAGCACTTGTCCAGATTCCATGGAGCACGGGTTAGTTTTGTCTGTCGGATTTTCTCCCTTTCTGTTCCGCTAGAAAACCCCCAAATGCTCTGACTGTAGTGAATATATATTGCTCGTGAGGGTTTATACACTAAATTATCGCTTTCCTTTGGAATGCTGTAATTTATGCTTAAACAAAGTATAAAACGAAAACAAAAAAAAAAAAAAAAAAAAAAAAAAAAAGGATTTCTGTCAACGAGCTGACCGGAAACATTAGTGCTAAGGTGTCCACTGGTTGCAATTTGAAATCAAAATTCAGAAAACCCTATTTTTAGTATTTTCTCATTACCAATTAAGAGTAAACTTTTTATTCTATTTTTATTAATTATAGCTAGATCTAAACCTAAATATTCTTTCAAAATACATTTATCGAGCTGCTTACCAAGATGCTTTATATAAATTTAAATCAATCTTACCAGATCGGGCACAACCTCCCAAAATTTGAGCAAAGAGGAACTTTTTTCTTAAAAACACTCTTCGTGGAGGGAAGGAAAGTCGTAGGTTTTAAGGCACTTCTGATATTCTCACACTGTAGGAATACCATTTTGATATCTTTTCACACTGTGTCAGAATATCACTTTTATTCAGTAAATAAAGCAGGCCCGTAGGAAGCAATTTCAGTTTGGGGGGCACAGCTATACATTTTCAGTTGAGGGGGCACTATCACTACCAAAAATTCCTTGACAAGCAAACAAAAAAAGTCATCAGACGTTTTTATTGTTTTATTGAGGGGGCACAAGCATATGATAGCTATGTTCCCCCCCCCCCCCCGTGCCTCCTCCCGGTTCCTACGGCCATGTAAAGAACAGTATTTCACTGTTGAAAATGTTATAAACCTGTGAAATATGTACGCCCTAACACCAACCGTTGTTATGGCAAAGGTTAAAGTTTTTTAAAAGTAAGTAAAACGTCAAGGTGTAGGTCAAATGGTGACCAAGGGAAGGTCTTGTCACAAGTGATACACATGTTTGTGAAATGTGAAAGCCCTAGAATCAAACGTTCAAATATTATGGCCAAGGTTAAAGTTTTTTAAAAGTAGGTCAAACTCCAAGGTCAAGGTCAATGCCAAAATTGTTGATATCCCAAAGAAAGATCTTGTCACAAGGATTATACATGTGAAGTATTAAAGCCCTAGCACAAACTGTGCAAAAGTTATGGCCAAGGTTAAAATTTTTCAAAATGAAAGTAAGTCAAACTGTAAGGTTGATGGTATCTAAAGGAAGGTTCGTCACAAGTAATTCACGTGTGAAGTATGAAAGCCCTAGCACTAACTATATAAAAGTTATGGCCAAAGTTAAAGTTTTTTTCAAAAGTAGGTCAAACTTTAAGGTCAAGGTCAAAGTTGTTGGTATTCGAAGAAAGGTCTTGTCACAAGGAATACACGTTACGCTTGAAAGCCCTAGCATCAATTGTTCAAAAGTTATGGCAAAGGTTAAAGTCTCATAAAAGTTTGCAAAAGTGGGTCAAACTCCAAGGTCAAATATGAAGGTACCTAAAGAAAGGTCTTTTCATAAGTAATAAACATGTGAAATATGAAAGCCATAGCCCCAACCAATCAAAAGTTATGGGCAAGGTTAAAGTTTTTGCGGACAGACAGACAGACGGACGGACAGGGCAAAAACTCTTCGATTACGGGGGAATAAAATTACTAGAAGAAGCAATATTCAATTAGACTCACAGAATAATTTTAGATTCTCAATTCGATACCCAAGTATAGACACATCTTCCACTAACTTGTACTACTGGTATTTGTTCAGAAAAATTTATCGGTCGATACAATGACCTTGTCAGCACATACAACCTATCATTGAGTCAAATGCTGACTGACGTTTTTCATACTTATTGTTAGGCCATTATTTATACACTGAACTGTCTACAGATTTTTCCGTTTTTGTTAGCCGATCATGACAAGGAGCACACGGCGGGTGTGACCGGTCGGCAGGGGATGCTCACTCCTCCATGGCACCTGATCCCACCTCTAAATTTTGAGGTCCGTGTTTGCTCTGCTCCAAATTTGTATCGTTTCACTGGAATTTCGAGACTGAATACTGTTCGTTAGCTTCATATTTCATTAGATGTAGATGAAAACAGAATGTTATTCATTTTTTATGACAAAAAATAAATTATCAACTGAGATAAATGCTTTTCAAAAAAATAAAGATATAAATACAATTCCTGATGACTTATGTCATTTATTAAAAAAAAATCTCAAATCTGTTACGCAAGGCTTGAACAGCGGAATCGCCAGAGTAATCAAGGGTTCTTTTTTTTTTTTTTTTTACAATGAACACTAGTGTGGGATAAAATAAGCACAAGTATGCATTATCTAAAACATTAAATCACGTCCAACGACAAAAGCACCAAGGTCATAAATTTAAAAACAACATCATGAAATGAGTATTCTGTTATAAATACATTGCAATAGTTCACAACCTCTCTCTCTCTCTCATTTTTTTCACAAGTTTGACGTCAATAAATTACATGTATCAACTGTCTTTTTGCTGCGCACGACCAAACCCATTTTTTGGAATACTGTCACTGGAAATGTTTCCGTATTAAGTTATCTATAAAACAAATCATTACACTTCTGTCGTGGTTTTCTTTTGTAAACCTGGTACGGGCATATCAATACTAAACTGATCACTGACTGTCACGTGATCAATATCAAGTTCATCTAACATTTCAAGGTCGCTGAAGGGGTCAGATATAAAATAATCCTCATCACTTGTCATACCTGGGCGATAATTGTCGTATTCAGATTCATACGCCGCCGATCCCGAATCCATGTTTAAGGCAGGGTCGCTCTTTGACATTTCGCTACTGCTAGCTATGGACGACAAACTTAAACTGTCAAGTCCAAGAGGATTTCTTCCTGCAAGATACTCCTCAATTCTAGCTTGATAGTACGGATCAATATAATCACGCGTCATTTTAGGACTTCCACACGTTGATGACGCAGCTGATGACGCATTGTCCTCTCTATCACTTGGTATATAGTCAAGGCTTTTGCAGGGCCTAACCGGCATTGTAAAGTTTCCGCGTCGTTTAACTTGAAATGAGTTTTGAACCAGATTTGGTTTCGCCGATGATTCTTTAACAGGGGAATTCTGTTTTGCTTTCACAGGAACTGGAAGTCGTGTCGGCTTTCTTTTAGAATTATGTCCAGATTGTCCACTTGAGGGGGGTTTACCAAATCCATGAGACGACCTCTTTTGACCTTCTGTGTCCTCTGTGTTTAAAGGTTGAGAATGTTCTTGCTTAAAGAAAATATCCTGATTTTTGCTGGATTGCTCCCCTGCAAGTTCCTGCAGTAACTGGGTCAAAGATGATGATGCTGCAGAACTCAGAACAGGAAATTTTGGCGTTGGTGGACCGTGAGAAAAACTTGAATAAATTGTGTCGCTTGACCTAGAAAAATTGCGGTCAAGATTCGATATCATATAGTCAGTGTTTGCAAGAAAGGCACGGGTGTACTGCGTGTAACAGTCGTCAGCAGGACAAGAAAGCTGCTTTACGTAGGCTGGTCTTGCAAGTTTTAATTCAATCGGTTGTAAAAGCACTACAGAAGAATGTTCGCTGAAAGGCTTAGAACTGGTGGACTCTCTGTCATCATCGGAATGCATAACCGGCGTAAGAATTTCTCTTCTGTGATGTATTTGTGAAGATCTTGGCTTAACTCTAGGACTTGAGTTACTGCGTTGAACAACTGCATTGGGTTTCACCTCTGCAGTTCTTTGTAACTCTTTTTCTGTTTGCATTCTTCTGACAGGTAACGGCGGGGGCTGAGAATTAGATTGTTGAAAAGCTTCGTCCTCGGGACTCGACATAATGGACATAGTTCTTCCATCAATGTTTGCCACCAAAGCAGGAGAAGGCGTTAAAGTGGACTGAGAAGAAGTGCTACTGGCTCGGGATCCCCTTGACACTCTACGCCCTCCTTCCAGATTTGGTTTTGGAGGTATAGGGGGAGGGGGAGGTGAAATCGAGCACCTCGAATCCTCCTCCTCAGTTTTTTCAAAGATATTTCTTTTAACTGGGGAAGATTTTGGACTTTGTCGTGGAGGAGAGATTAAGCCTTTCTGGTGTCCATGAAGAGGAGATGGAGGTTTTCTGTGAGGATTGACGGGTAGGCCTTGCTGGGGTACCTGATGGGGAGTGTGTACAGCTTGATGAGGGCTTAGTGGCTCACGATAAGTAGCAGTGACAAAAATGTCGTCTGATGAATTTCTGTTCTGCATTTTTTCATTGCCTTCCATCTTGTTCATCTTTCTACGATTTGGGTGTGAAGGACTTACGACCTGGTTCAATTCTTTCAACATATTTGAAATCATCATTCGGCTTTCTTCGGGAATATCACTGGGGTCTGGTCTGTCGTATTCGCCTTGGTTGAAAAATGATGGATTTCCAAAAGGCATAATAGGTGGCGCATTATGAATTTTTCGTGCTTGCAGACCTGGCGCTGCTTTGACGGCGTGTCGTAACTCTGGTACCGCCCCTGCAATGACGAAAGGGGTGGGCCTGATGATTGGCACCGTGGGACTAACAACTTGGCATGGCTTTGTGACTGGTGGGCCTTTAGGCTGACTCACCGGAATATGACTAGGTTTTCTGATTGGTTGCACCGAAGCATAATAAGGTGCGGTGTATTTTTCTTTGTGGTTATTTCTATCAATCGTATCCATAGAACCCCGTGGAGCACCAGTGCTATACCTTTTGGAAGCACCTGGTGCACTTATGCTCTGTGAAATTTGCGAAGGCGACTGATGGGCATGAAGATTGCTATCGCTGACGTTTCGTTGAATTTGTTTATAGTGGCCTCCGTCACGATTCTGTGGTGAAGGTGATTGCTGTAGTAATGGAGTATTTACATTAATGGCCTCGTCTTCGAAAATGGGAGTTGCGTACAAATCGTTCATTGGCATTCGTGATACATTGCTTCCTGGGTAAGAATTAAGACTCGGTAAAAAGTGCTCACTGCTGTGTTCTGATGTATTTGGACTTGTTTTTAGATTCTCAAACATGGAGTTTTGTAAGGGATGGACATTCTGCGTCTTCATATTCATAAAATGAATGGCTGGGAGTTCTGGAGAATCCATTCGTGCATACGTCACTTCCGATTCCGTTTCGGATATGTGACCGGAAATGCAATGTGATAAAGCATTCGATGTCGGTTTTCTTGATGGATATTTTGGACTTTCAGTACTGTTGCGTCTTTTTCGGTTCAGACTTCCCGGTGGAGTTGGCATTCCTTTTGCTGGGTCAAAGTTCAAAGGCAAACGGTTTTGTGAACGAAAAGACTCATTTCTGGATATACTTTCGTGAGAAGACAGACTTGCAGCACTGGGATTTCTTACTACTAAGGCTCCACTTCCAGATTGTCCTGATACATGACTGTTTGATATATTATTCATACTGTTGATGCTGGGTGATGCCTCCACCCCTGAAACTCTTGATCCAGGGGTGAGCAAGCTCGGGGAACTGGGGTGCTGACTTAGAGGAGGAGACCTTGGCATACTGGCGGCTGACAGACGTGGCGATGACGCTGTATGTATGACGCTTCCTGGTTGGCGCCTTCCTACTAATAAATATGTCACCATGTCACCTTTGCCCTTGACCTTTATCACTCCTCGACATTGGAATTCGTACTTTTCATGCAACACGTTGTAAACATCTTCTGTTACCTAGCAAATGTAAGAAACATAATTTGGTGGTATTATACGGTCGCTTAGATGTAATATAACAATGGATTTTTTTTATTGATGATGAAGAATCTTAGTATACATATTAAGTAAATACCTGAATGGCATTGGGCTTCCCAGTACTTTCCATTCTACTTGCAACATTCACGGTATTACCCCAGATATCATACTGGGGTTTCTTGGCTCCAATAACGCCAGCTACGACGGGTCCAATATTTACCCCTAGAAAAAAGGCATCACAGTCCATTTACTGTTTTTTGTCATTACAAAAAGGAACGATTTTTTTCAGTAACGTTTCAGTGTAATTTAGGTTCTAAATTTATAATGAGTCTGTACATATGTATTTTAACCAACCCACTACCCCATCCCCAGTGACAAGCGATTAGCTGTGCATTTTAGTAATTCTGAACAAAAAATGTAAACACTTTTTACATAGTACTTTATACTCCCTAATGAATGTTGCCTTACCAACTTTCAGCTGGAAATCGTTGTACGAGTTTTCGTTAATGACTTGCAGCTTATCCTTCATTGCTAGGACAAATTCAATTAGTAGCTCCATATAGCTTGACATGGAACCTTGGGTTTCCTGCAAGTATACAGCCAGTTTTTCTTAATTATTATTTTTCAGGTTCTTGCTGTTAAGTATATTTCCTTCTTTTTCTTTAATTAAAATAATCAGAATATGATTTTAATGATTTATAATCTTTAAATGTAACAAACCAGCATATTTACGCATGGCTCATCTTAATCATTAAAGAAAATTAAAAAAAAATCAATTTCGAAAGATAGAATGAAATCCATGCTTAATAGTGCATGTAGTTACTTTCAGTTGCTTATACAAAAAAAAAATAAAACGTCTTGTATATATTCTGTTACCTGTATCCTGTAATCGGGTATTAGTCCTACGGCGGCCATATACGTGCTACCAATGGTTTTAATTTTGTCAATTGCACGAAACCTTGGCTCATTCAAAAGCTGGAAAATTAACAAAAACGGCATAATATATATGTAACACAAAATATTTTCCTGATCAAAACGTTCGCAAATCGACAGGAAATTATCGACTGACCTCATCAAAATCAACAAGAATTTCATTCAGGACACGCAAGCATTCCATGCCTTGGTTGTTTGCGTCTAGCTCTATGTAGAAGTCAGAAAAGTTTGGAATGGATGCAAAGAAAACGCCCACTTTTGGATAATACTGACTGTAAAGTTCCTATAAAAAAGTATTTTGATTAAAAAAATTATGATTTATTTTTTAATAATATCATATAATATCTGTCTATATATATATATATATATATATATATATATATATATATATATATATATATATATATATATATATATATATATATATATATATATATATTTATATATTTATATCGATGTTGGTTTTCTTGTGCTTTGTTCTCGTATTACATGTACAAGTAAAATTCAAAATAAGCTAGTATGTACAGCGGTTTTGCAATTCTTCGTGCTTCATACAACACGACTGTACACTTTGTACAGAGTATAAACATTGATTCCAAAAATTACTTCATGTTTTTAGTTTTAGGTTTCGACAGATTAAAACAAGTGGGTCATCAGAAAAAAAAGAGATAACGTTTGACCAAAACCAAAATGTAAGGAAATATATCTATGAAGTATATTCCTTCAAATTGACATATATTTTTTTTTATCAAGGGAGAATAACTTCTCTCGGTCACAAAATTTTCTTTGTTCGAATTATATATGTGAGTAAAAACAATATTTAATTAAATTGATTACAATATGGCAATAACAACCACGTAGTCATAATCTAATATTTTTTTATATATAGATTCACCATTGTGATGTCAAAAAAATTTTAAACAGCTGCAACAAATCAAGGTTAAAATTTATTTGAAATTAGTTCAATTTATTGCAGAACACGAACATTTTTCTCAAATCCTCAAAAACAACCGGAAAAATTACCGTTTTTTTGCTGGATGTGTCTAAGAAATGGGCCGCCACGTGAGCCGGAAGTAAATTACACAATATCCGTTTGTTGTTGTTCTGAACTTCCGTCATCCCAATTTTCTCTTCTGTAGCCTGTCAGAAGACAATCATTAGATGGATAAAATATAAAACTAAAACATCAGGCACATGGAATTCGTTTTCCGGAGGAATTTGATTAATTTATTGTGCAGCACTTCTACAGAAACGATCCTTAAAACGTGCAGAGAAATCATGACGTTTTTGAGATGGCTTTATTCTTACAAGGTCACCAAAACAATTTTTCCTTTGATATTTTCATGTTTGATGAATTAACTGAGGCTCACTGAAATATTTTCTATTTGTCACCATCTTGATATTTGTTTTTGCTTTAAATAGGATTTTCAATAAAAAGAAATTGAACTCTTTTGGGTATAATTACTCATTTAAAAGTTACCTGTAACTTCCATAGGAAGTCAATTCTCGACGTCCATTCTTGCTGTCGACCTTGAAGATACAAGGTCAACATAAACACAATGAGGACCACCAATCCGGTCACCCAAGTTGGCACATGTCGTCTACAAAGCCAAAAAACTTTAAAAATGTACAAGTTTATTAAAAGAATAACAGGTGCTAAGTCTGCAATGCTTCTTTGTGAGAAAATATATAACGTTACATACTGTTACTTTTTCATTTCCGATGAACACTGCTACTTTCGTAGTATGGAGGAGCTTTACAGTAAGTTTGTAATTTCATAAGGTTATTCAATATTCAAATTTAAGATGGGTGAACAAGGCGGGCAGAGTGCCTATAGTGCGACAAACATGAAGTGAAAAATAAAATCGCAATTATATCAAAATTTTCTTTGATATTTATTCATCTTGCATTAAAGTATACTTTTTGTAAAATCTCTGCAATTTACAAAATCTCACAAAAAGTGAAATTATTTGCCTATGAAATAGCATACACACACAAAAGAGGACAATAAGGATCATTTTCTCATACTTTAACAAAAAAATTTCAATATGAGTGGGTCCTCGCTCCATTTTTTGTTTGCATAAAAATATACATTTTTTGGTTTACAAAAATATGGAACAAAGACCCACTATACCTAAAAAGTACACTATTATGACAAAACATTCGGATCTTTCCGAGAAATACTTAAAGTCCATTAGTCAAGCATGATTTAAATGCCACAATTCAACAGGAGCTGTTTAGCGTAGTGGTTAGCGTGTTAGTCTCAAAGCAATATGATATTCCATGTTTTTATTGCTAGGGTTCGAATCCCACGAATACCGTTTTATTTTTTAATAAAAGAATACTTTTCTCCCGAAATCTTTTTTTTTCTCAGAAAAGTTTTCCTGGTCACAATTTCACAAATTTTAATAATGAGAACTTTATTTAAAATACTTCATTCACAAATTGAATATGATTTTTTTTTTTTATATCAGAAGCTATAGGCATTCTGCACGCCTTGTTCACCCATCTTCTTTTTTACGAGCAAATTTTTACTCGTTAAGTAAGTCATACTCTCAATATATTTTTTTCATTTTATTCTAATTCAAGTACATGTACATGCAGCTGAATTGCACGTGACAAAACTTCAGTAATTTTATTGCAGTACATCCAGACACTCACTCATGCGTTCCATCAAAAGAATCGAATATTTTGTGATGGGTGACCTTCATGACAACAGTGTATACGGCTAACATGAGAACCATTAACAGCAGCTTAATTCCCGCCGCCAGCTTCAAAAACACAGAAACGGAAATAAAACTCAGCACCCCAGCTAGAAAAATGTATTGTGGGTAATCACATGATAAGTGTGTGTCACCACTTCCGGTCAAACTCGTCATTGTCAAGGCTTCAAATAGTGTTGAAGATTGGCAACAGAACTGAAATCAGATAATGGTTTTGTATGTAAAATATACAGATAATGTATTATTTTGAAATATGAAATAAAACACAAAGAATATAAAAAGTATCAAAAAAAGTAAATATGCTTATTCAGCATGAAGTTTCACCATTGTTTTGCATCTTTGTTCAGTTGCTTAAGAAACAATATATTTAATATGTGATTACACTTGTTATCAATTTTATTGTTGGCTTCAAACGGTTACACATATCATAAACGAAATATCTTTGTTTATAACTCAAATTAACAATAAAAGAAGTCTTCAATCTTATTACGAGCAAAATGTTGGAATTAACTGAATCAAGTTATCCACGTATGTCAAACTATATATTTGTCAATGCCCAACAACAAAATGCACATCTGTTATCCTAAATACATGTACTATCATATTATAATATGTTTATATGATAAAGGCAGTGATTTTTGAATGTTTATTGTACATTTCATTAACTGTAACTTTTTAATGAATGATTTCGATAAATGCAGATTGGCATATAAACCAAGGTCCAGTCAGCTTTCAATAAACTTTTTTTTTCCATTCATGCTAGAAATATCAGTTAACCCTTAAAACAAATATAATTTAAGGTAAGGCATTATTAAGCAGAAAACAATTGTGCAGAAAATTTCGCCTTTAAAGCAACATTCAATAAGACTGCTTAATACTCTTGTCTACAGGAAATGAAGTATATTTTTTGAGAATCTGGGTGCAGTATTTATATAAGGATGCCCTTGTACTTACAATATTAACTTGAGACATGGAATAAATCAGAATTATCGTTGTCAGCATTATAAACAGTCTGAGCCCCGAGGACTTCCGAATATCAAAGACGGTGCACTGTAAAAAAAGCGAGAATACAAATTAAATGCCGACGTGGTGTATATTTTAGAGAGAAAACTATCGATTTTACAGCATCGATCTGAAAGTATATACAAGTTTGTTTTTTTTTAATTTGTAAAGCATGCATGTAAAATGAACTAGAAATGAGATGGATAGATAATATACAGAAAATATTTAAACTATGATATTACAAATGGCAATAATGAAATATTCATGCAGTAAATTGAAAAAAAAAAGACTCTGTAATCAAAAAAATAATACAAAGTACTGGGAAAGAGACTAGTTTTCTAACTTTTTTTTAGGAATTTATACAATGAACAACGGAACATCAAAATTATATGTTAAACAATATTTAGTGTCTTGTAATATATATAACTGAAAAAAAACCTGTATTCCATTTTGAAAGACCTGTAAAAACACTTTCCAATGGTACATTGTGTTTCGTAAATAAATATTTAGGTATACACTATGCAATACAAAATTAAACAAATTAAAGTCTAACAACTCATGTTGAATCAATATAACATGACGTTAGATACAGAATTTGGCTTGGATAATTTATTTTGCAGAACTTTCTTTCTATAAACCTTACATTTTCTTGAACAGGAAAGGGGTAATGTTTGTCTACTTGTTTGGCTTTTTTAAAAAAAAATCCTTCCTAAGTCTGCATGTTATTTTGTTTTTCTATCAAAATATATTTTTCTCCACTTACTTTGAGTTTGACGCTTAAAATTAACATCAATACAAGAGCGATCCAACAAAACGTAGTCAGGAACAAAATCAAAAGCAGCATGGTTCTGAAAGATATAAAAATACAGAACTACAGTACAACTTGTCTAATCTGGTTGTTGTGTATTCCGAAATTTTGACTATTTAGTATGATGAAAACTTTTATCTCCCTTTCAATACAGTCAACTACATGTTTGAAATGTTGTCTTATCCGGCAAATTTCTATGAACCATTTGTGTCTGGTGTAGTCTAATAGTTTTACAGTAATTCATGGCCTGTTATCCAGCAATTCAGATAACTTTACTTTCTTTTAAATATTCAGATAATTTTACCTTGGTAAAATGGCTGTTTGAACGCCCGCCATACACATCAGCATAACTAGGGAACATATCATACTGCTACTGAAGGCAAAGTCGTTTGTAGATTGGTACTGTGAATATACATGTGTGGTCAGTCAAAATCAATATAAATAATTACATGTATATCTAGCTTAATCTTACATACCTAATTATATTTCATTTTTAATTTCGGTAAAACGTGTACTTTGTTCTGCAAAGCAGCTGCAAAACATTAGGTTTTACTTAAAAACCGTTTCTTCTTCAATCGTGTACATATTTTGTCTTTCCAAACAGATTGCAAATGTACTTCAAAATAAAAAAGTGATTGACTTTAGTCTCAAAGTGAAAATAAAAAAAACTAAAGCAGAGTTTTATATGAAAATGATTTATCTCTCACACCGTTTCAATAACAATGCCCTTATTCTAACAATTCTATTTCAAAGTGAAAGTAGTTCAAAGTGAAAGTAGATGATCTCTAATACTGTTCTTAAGGAACTATTCGGATCATACCCTTTTCTCTTGGAATGAACTTTTAAATCTGAGGGTAAAGCTGTTGACTTGATCTCGTTTCTCTTTCTCCAGGTTTCGTGCTTTCAGTGCCTGGGATATGTACAAGTTGGCCGACTCGGTGGAGGTCTGCTGCTTAGAGGGACCTCGACTGAAAAATCAGAACAAGACTCTAACAAAGAATATAAAAATCATTGGGTACTTTGTTGGAATCCGGATAGGGCTACATACTTCACTATCGAGCATCGATTATTGTTTCGATGGCACATTATCGATGAACATTTTTTCGTCGAGTTATCGCGCTATCTCTCCAACGTGTTATCGCATCATGGTCATCGTATTTATCGCGTCATCGCATCATCGTCATCGCACTATCACATGATGGTCTTCGCATTATCTAGCGTCATCGAATCAAGCCTTGACGATGTGATGGTGCGATATCGATAGTGAAGTACTTAGTCCTATCCGGATTCCATAACTTTGTGATGCGAGACCACAATTTCTCACTCGAGAAATCAAAATTAATTATATCAAATATATATGGAAAAATTGAATTTCCCAACTGGAAAATATATATGTATATCTACATCTTATAGCTATAAAATTTCGAGAAAATTTCCATAAATGGAATCATTTTAATTCAATGGGGGGGGGGGGGGGGTTCAATGTTCATGGGCTACCAAAATTTTGCTGGTTCGTAGGGACGTGATATCCTGGGTAACTCGATCAATAAACTAATTCGCTGACAAAGTTATCGTTCGAAGGGATGTAAATTCGTGGGCAAGGGTGCTCTCCTAGAGAAAGGTTCCTCCTAGAAAAATACGAACATTGTTTTCCCACGAACAATGATATTTAACAATTCTTTTTTGAAACCGAGTAAATATAATGTTAGTCAAAAAACTTTATTTTTCTGATTTTAATTTATTTTTACCTTGACTGTCCCTGGAAGGCTTTTCTTATTTTGTCCCTCACGGAGTATTTAAAGTTTGACTGGAAAAAAGGAAAACACACTTAAAAAATTAACCCCCCTGAAAAATTAAGGTGGCATGTACAAAAGAAAATGCAACATTTAGAATTACGTTTTAAAAGTAAAAATATATATGTACTTTTAACAGATGAACAAATAAAGAACGGAAGAAGAAAAAAGCACGCCGGGAAAAAGTACAACTGGTAATAAAGTCAATCTTTTTAGAGAAAAGTAAGAAAATTTCTGTTGGGAAATAAAATAAAGCGACCATTAAGTGACAACTGGAAGGAAAATCGATATAAATGCTCAGTTTGAGAAAAATAAAATGTTCAGATTAGGTGAAATTGGTAGGAAACTGAGCAATAGATTATAGTAGTTGTTGTATAACAGCTTGTATTTCAGATACAGTAATTATGATTAGGAACAATCGCTGTGACTGCTAGATTTCATCCTTCTAAGATAAAACGTATCATTAAGATCATTTTAATATGAACAAATATAGTGTTTATGTCGTTTTTTCTGTCAGTACGGTAATGTGGTAAAGATGTCACTATATAGAATTACAGCTGCACTATTATGTCTTTGAATTTTACACCAAAAAGAGGAAAAACGCAGAAATTTTTGCTTCGTGGGGTGGGATGTTATTGTTAAATATAATATTGAACCTTTCTAAAATAAATCTTAAGAAATCTGAGTTCCCAATTTACATACTGAAAGCTCTATAGTTGATCACGTGGACATGAAACTTAACCTTTGACTCCGATTGTGGTGGACCTATTTCATCTTCGACCTTGAATTATAACCTTGACCTCCTCTATACATCAAATATGATAGAAAGCTTCTATTTTGCATAATTTAAGAGATTGATCGACTGATCAGAGTTAACAAATATACAGAACTTAAACACAAATAACCCGAAATTCGATCTTAGAGGCATGAAGAGAAAGAAAAATACCATTCCCAGACATGTATTCGAAAGTATGATCTACATGTATCTACACACTGAGAGTATAGTATGATTATACAACATCTCTCTTTCGTACTGTCTGGGGTTTAAAAGACTAAGACACGAACCAATCCTGACCATATATATCTAGAAAGACATGGAAGTCGATCATTCTAAAATAAATTTTAAGGTGAATGTATCATTATTAATAGAAGATAAATTTTGCCTGCACACTGTGACTTCTGACAAACAGACAGATGATCTTATCCAAAAGAGAGACGTTATATGAAAAACAGTGCTGTCTATTCTGGATGAAGAAGATTGTTTTGCCGGAGGTGTACCCCCTGAACTGCAGTTGGAGCTTTTCATGTTGAGCAGACGATCGTATATCAAGCAAGCAAGTGTAACTTTCTGATTTATTTTAAAACTTCATTGTTCTGCAAATGTTAGCAGGACATGGTTTTTTCTTCTAAATTTGCCTCCAACATGCAACAGTGTTTCAGAAACGGATGTCAAACAGGCGTTTTTGCTCTTTTATTTTTATTTTCGTGAAATAAAACAGGTCTTCCTGCAGATGGTTCGTCAAACGAAATAGAAAAAGGCAATTTTCTGCGGAAGTCATCAGTTTCGTAAAGATTTCACTAATTGACAAGTGGTCCTCTTTAGTTTTCCTTAGATAATAAATCCCGACTATATCGATTCCATTCTTATAACCTTGAATTAAAAACTTTTTTCCCCAATCGATATAGCAAATCATCTGAATTCGATTTCAACGAATGCGTTTATTGTGTACAAAAAGAGAGAAACATTCTATTTTAAGAAACATGTTCATTAAATGTTTGAACGGATATAAAGGAATTTCCCCGATTTTCTGTGTGCGGACACCATCTTCCTAGAAAAAATAAACACATCCTCTTGGCAATTCAGGCCATGTCTTGTAATTTCAAGAATAAAAATGAAAAATTGCAACCTTTAATCATTTGTTTTCATTTCGGATTGCCTAAATACAGACCAACGACAGAATTCGAATATCTATGGACAGAAAACGTACAGAACATTTTTTTTTTTTTTTAGTAAATAGTCATTTGCTATATCATATCAATTATATGTGAAGATTATTATTAAATATATTAATTTTTTTGTTGTTTATTGATGAAATTTAAATACTATTGAATGTTTGTGTTTTTTATTGGCATGCTTTATTGTTGTGGCTAGTGAAAAATTTCATTGGTGTGTATGAGCGTAGAAGGATTATTTGTGTTTGTTGCCTTTATGGTTTATGTTGTTGTGAATGCCATTCCATGCTTTCTATACACCACAATTGAATTGATATAATGTTCATTTTCACTCACCAATTTTGATCCTGGCTCTTGGCGTGGCGGATCTGACTGGAGGTTAAGGACGTCAGAGAATGGAATTTCTGCATTTAGTCGAATCTGCATTAGCCGCAAGACAATTCTAGAGGTGTTCCGGAAAGACGGCTTCTTGGCTCGGATCAAGTTACTGCGTCCCATACAGATTCCCGGAGTCTAAAGAAATATTTTACGTCAGTCTCGCCGATTTATCTACTTTGATCGGAAATGATACAAATTCGATACATTCAACTAATGCACCGTGAATTACATAACCAGAAACTAACAAGATTTCGAGAACATGAAACATAGAGGTTATCTCATAAAGATAATTTTGGAGATTGCACAGAAATGTTTGATGAAAGAGGCTTTTAGGATGTAGACAAAACGTTATCTATTTGATCTATTTTTAAACCTTTGCTATTTCACGCATTTTGGTTTACCATGTATCCAAATGTTCTTTAATTCGGATTCATTGCACCCTACAGCGTACAATTTATACCTAAAAATTATGCCACTTTTCAATTAAGACACGACTGTCTCTTAAGAGACTGTTAATCTACTGGTTTCAATTAATATATTCTTTAAGTTGCTCTTGGACTCATTTATATTGAGTTTTACATTTACATGTATATCCAAAATTATATCTATAAATAATTTCTAAGATCATAGAAAGTTCTATTAAATCAGACCAAGCCTTAAAGAGGATTAGCATTTTAAAAGAATTAAACAAAGTATTCTATTCTTAACAGTAAACTCAAGCGCAAACAAAACTCAATACACATGTTTGTATAAAATAGGAATTTTGATTTTGAGACTCTACACCCACATTTCTAGGGGGACTTTCAGTAATAAGAAACGTCTCAATCCCTCTTTCTTTCAAATAAGAGTTCCTGTCTCCGCCATTTCCGGGCTCCACTTTATACTCTTCGGGAAGATGACGTAATGTTGCTTTCGTCAAATGCACTCTCCTGTGATGATATTAATGCACATTGTTAATACTTTTCAGAAAATCATCTTTTTTCGGGGAATACTTTAACGCTAGATACAAATCTTTTTCACTAGCTCTGTTGTTGGGTTTTGTTTTTTTTAAATATTTTTTTACCCTGGGATTCCAGCGGACTCCATTTGGTTTGCCAGTGTGACGTCATCACTCCAAACATCAAACTGCCATTTTTTCAATCCCAGAACCCCACTTAGCACTCTTCCGGTATGCAATCCAACGCGCATGTTCAAATTCACATCAGTCTTATCACAAACCATACTGTAATTCAAGGTACAATGTAAATTACTTAAACAATTATTATCTCTCCGTCGTGGATTATATTTACATGTTTTCAAAACTAGTATCTATTATTAAACAATTCTTTCAATAAGAAGTACTAAAAGCACTGTGCTTACAATAACAAATACACATTAGATTTTCTTTTATTCAACAGAGTCTGTGCAATCAGCAAGTATTACCAATATGTGCAAAAAAATCCTATATATATAACAAAAACATTATTGTACTTTTAGGCTTCATCTACGTCATAATGGACAATAGTATTACTTAACTACCATTATTTGACTTATAAACTGCCGATTAATGTAGATATACGATTCAAAAAGGCACGTCAACAGTCAACACTCAGTAAACTGTTAAGAGTTAATCATATAATACTTTAAGCAAGGTTACATCAGAATATATTTACCGAATGACGTCAATCATATCCAGTCCCATATCTACGACAATTTTGGCGTGGTCATCATTTTTCTGGGGTACACCGCAGACGCAGTAGTAACAGTCCCCTAGAATCTTGATTCTGAGACAGTCGTAGTACTGAAACAAAAGTCAAGTATTACATTAGACTGTTTGAAAACATTCATATTACGCAGGTATGTTAAGGAAGCATACAAATCATTTCTCGGGAAATTTAGACTTTTTAAAGAAAATTAAGATTGATAATTTATCAAAGCCGCCGATAAAACGTAAACTACTATTAACTATTACATAAAGACACGGAGTGTCTGAGGCCAAGTAGTGCACCACCTCGACGTCATCACGTGACTGCTATTAATAGCAAAATATTCCTTAATAAAAAAAATTCACAGAACAACACTACCCCGGGGTTTAATAATTTCTTTGAGTAAATAATATAGCTGAAAAACATCTCTTATGCCTAAAAAGTGCTGCTAGAATCCCACTGTCCAATCGGAAAAATAATTATTCCACATATTTGCACGAAACCTTACCCGATGTTTTGCAATATGTACATATAACCCAGGATATTTCTTCAAACCATGTTTACCTCACGATTCTAGCAGCACTTTCCAAGTATTTTAGAACACAAGCTTTCGATGTGTACAAATATTTTGTTTTGAAGTGTCCAGCTTAGTGTTGTTCTTTTGCATTATTTTTGTCACGAATGACAGAGGAAAGGCCAACCGGGATACGTAAATAGCTGACTGTCTTCAATAGAAGATATAATCGATGAAAATAAATCAACATACATGTTTAACAAACTTAAAATTTACATAAATAACACACAATATTCACGGTATTTACTTCTAACCCTCCTTTTACGTATCTTTTTACTTGCCGTCTTAGCCAAATTCTCGTTACACAACATGATCGATTATCAAGTTACTAGTTGAATAGTTATGACGTCATCGGTCAGAGATTTTAATTCAAGTGACAGATACAACATAACAAAATAAAAACATTTGATTTTTGTTAATATTTGCAAGGTTCTATTCATTTTCAGGAGTTACATTATATTTCTAAATAACAATATTAAGAAAACTTGTGTTCTAAACTTGACGTCATCTCGCCTACTGTGACGTCATATTGTATCACTGACTTAGTCAACTCAGATTATCTTAGTGCTTCCTTAACACACCTGCGTACTGAATTAGAGTCACGTGATATTTGAGAGTGTTTAAAATGGAATACTTGCACCTATGTTTATTTTTTTTAAATGATTAACAGAAACAATAATCTAAGTACAAAAAGCACACCCTTGAGTGCAGTTATTTAGTATCCGGCCACAAGTAAGAGTTTTAAATTAACTTGCTAAAATGTTAGACAGCAGACATATGATGAATACAACGATGATAATATATGATTTACTTACTAATGCAACAATGGGCCATAAAGGGATAAAATAGTAATACACACTAATGGGAGACAGCAGGATTGAATTGACCTACATATTATCTAATTTGGAAATTAATCAGTCAGGAATTTTTTTTATTCCCATAATTCATTGCGAGAGATCGATTATATTCTTCTGAGACACGACAGAAATGAACCCATAAACAGATAATCTAACATCTACAACAAATCAAGAAACACCAAGGGATGCAACTTAAATCTTTAATCACGAAGATCTTTTTTTTTTTTGTTTTACCTTTGCCAGGCGATCGAAGCTTCCGAAGAGGTCGTTTAGTATCCTTACCAGCTCCTGTGCCGTGCATTGGGATGACATTTTAGTAAAGCCCACGATGTCAGCAAACAAGATGCTGAAAAGAATTGTTTTATGTTTTATGCAAGTTTCTTTGAAAACGCCCGCCTTACTAATTCAATGTTTTTAGCAAGAATCTTTCTTTTTTAATGTTTAAAAGCTTACATTTAAGAATCAATTTTAAAACTAGAAACTAGTATATCATAGGACATGACTGCCACATCCAAGGTGTATTTGCATTGCAAAATGAAAAGAAATGTACCTTGTTTCTTCAGCATGGGCTAATGGTAAAATATAATGAAAGGAAAAAATAATCTTGAGAAGATTTTTTAAAGATATCACCAAATTTTCAGTATTTCTGAATTATCCACCCTAGGAAGAGGGAGTGGTCCTTCATTTAAACAAGCTTGAATCCCCTTTACCCAAGGATACTTTGTGCCAAGTTTGGTTGAAACTGGCTCAGTGGTTCTGGAGAAGAAGATGAAAATGTGAAAAGTTTACGACGACAACGACAACAACGGACAAATTTCGATCAGAAAAGCTCACTTGAGCCTTCGGCTCAGGTGAGCTAAAAAACAAGTTCTTCAGATCAAATTCAGCGACTTTATGTACTTTCAAATTAGACAAACATTTGCCTCATACATGTACATATAATTAGTTTCAACATTTCCATTAGCCGTGTTTTGTAATCTCTATATACCTGACAGGTTCGTAATGCTTGATGTAAATCTTGTGAAACTGCTGTTCATCTTCAGATATCGTGATGTCATCTTTAACTTCTGAGGCAATATGGCGAGGTAAAACACTCAACAACAGCCGCTCCTGTTATATGTTGTGGCAAAAAAGAAATAAAACTTGTGAAATATCAAAGACAAGTACCTCTCTATAATTTATGACAGATATTTCATTATCGTAATTTTTTGGAAAATATTTCAGGAATGGTTTATCGACTGTGGAGGTCATAGCCCTCGGTACTTTATATACAAGGTTGTATATAATTCGTTCTTTCTTTCTGAAAACAGGTATATGATATTTACTTATAACCAAAGGTTCCATAATCAAACAGATGTATTTAATTTACATACTTCTAAATTTACTGAGTATATCTTTGGCTGACAAAAAGTTTTTTTAATGCTCAATTAAGCAGAAAATAAATTTTTTCCACAAAATACTAAAATTATCTTCACTACATAAAAAAAATCACTTTTACTTTCTTCGTTGATGTAAATAACGTACCAGTTTTTCGTTCTCCTCTTGTATTTCCTTTTTTGCGGCTATGCAGTTCCGAGTGTCTACGAAGGTCTTTCGTTGCGCCCTCTGGTTGACATTGTTGATGAAAATCCCCGCCACATTGACCGATATGAAGAGTATAATATTTGCCAGCAGCTAAAATATAAACAATACCTGCATTAATTACGTGATTATCATCCATAAATACCCAGAAAACAAAGTCTGAGAATAAAGAAATTGCAATGTTCGTCTGCCCTTATGTCTGTGAGTCTCGTTTTTTCCCAGCTAATACATTTGTAATATACCAGAGCATTACAAGTTTATACAAGGTGAAGATACCCATGATATATGTCACCATCTTGGGCCACGTTATTTTGACATCATCAAGGTCATAGATTTCAGAATTGTAAATTCATATTTCATTTATATTTTTCCAACACTGAAACATCAGAGGTACATATCCTTGGTATGCTGATGATCAGAAGATGTGTCTTAGGCCTGTATCAAGCTTCAGGTCATTTCAATTTTGCTCCTAAAAGGTAAACTGTCCAAGGCGAGATTTATAATACATGTACTAGAAAAGTAAACGCTCAAACTTAACAAAATTCTGAACCAGGCCCCAAGACCATAAACTGAAAATTGACTTCAGTCAAAATTTTGATTTTGAATATCTTGAGATTTGTTTCTCATAGGTGTTTAAAAAAATCCATGTTAGTATAATATTTAACTACAAACTCAAGATGAAAACTTTGTTTGATTAGCAAAATTATTCCAGAAGTTATATTCATTTCAAATTTTCATTTAGGTCTGTTCTCAGTTTATGATCTTGAGTCCAGATGTGTCATAACCCTATAGCAAAACTTTTTGGGAAAGGCCATATAGGATTCAGTTGGGTTCATAGCAATGTAATGCAATTGTTGATTCAAACGTTTGCTCCTGATCATCAGGTTTCACATGATCGAAAACTAAATAGTATCTATTAAATCAATTATCTATTTTTTCACTCTACTTGTATATTGATAAAAAATCCAGGCCAATTTGTCTTTTCTTTTTTGAATTCGACTTTCTATAAACCAAAATTATCTCCTTGATATGTTTTCTTTCATGTATACTTTTTTTGTTTCAAAGGATCCAAGTTTTTTTTATGTTTCCGCCAACTAATTTTTTCCATTCAGTTCATAAATCGATGTACAGTTAGGTATTTTACGGGCAACTTCGCTAGTTAACGTTCACATAAATATTTCATAATCAACACTCACACGTCACCGCTGAAGAGTTTGAAGTAGATATATTTGTGAACGAGATGTTACAAGTAATGAAAACTGGCATTTGCATTCGTAAGAAAAGGTCGATAAACTGAAAAAAGGGTGACTAAAGTTTGTTTTTTAAATACACGTAGTAACCCTTTTTTCTTTGTTATTTTTCCATTTCATTTTAGAGGATATCCAATTGTCTTTTCTTTGAAATGGGACAAACTTATATTATAAAGGGTTTCCTTAACTTCCGTCTACTGTGAAAAAATAAGAGTCATGACACTTTGTGTCCCTGGTCGTCAATACTACATACAAAGATCCATCATGAATGCGCACAGATATATTACGATATTTATGGCAGAGAACTGTACCCAATATTTGGCAAAGAGTATGCATTGTTATGAAAATCTGCAATGCAGAGAGCAATTTGTATGTAGAAGTGCAACAATGAAAGGTGCAATAATATATATAAAGTAGCGATCGAGCTTTGAAATAATTGTCGGCAGAGTAAAGAGAGGTCAGAAAAGGTTATTTCTTTCAGCACCCCCTCCCTTCTCCTTGTTTCTTTTTTCGCTTTCTTTCTCTTTCTTCTTCCTCTCCAACCTTCCTTTCTTTGAATCTACTCCCCTTTTCCCTAACTCCCTATAACTTATTTCCCTACTTCCACATTTGAAAAACCTTGAAATGTACAATTCTGACCAAATCCTGAAAAAAAAAATACATTGATACCTTGGACATCTTCTCTGGCAAAATAAGAATCGAGAAGATTAGAAGCACTTAGCTAAGCTATAGCGAAGATAGGATCTTAACACAAGTACATGTGTATATCCGTTCGGCAAAACGACATAATCTAAGATTTAATACTGTAAAACCAATTTACTACCCAATAGGACAATTCTCGAAGATAAAATCGATATTTAATCATTTTGAAGGTTTCAGTAAAGCATTTCCTTAAATCCCCTCTCCTAATATTCATTTACAGAACAATAAAACACAATCGCCTGGAGGTGTTTTGAATGAATTGTATTGTAATTCGTAATTTGAGCGTATATTCTAGGAATCTTCAAACAACGCGAGAATATTGATTCCCCTTGCTATTACTTATAATTACCACGCTAATAAAATACATATAATGGAACCACGGGAATCATATTACGCCACCTTTGACCATTATCAAGACGCTCTATATAGGGTCCATTCAATCCTTTTTCTTCCACGTAATAGAATTACGACTTCCTTTGGAACTTTGACATAAACACTGGCTACTAGTTTTTGCTCTTAAAAGTCGCCAAAGTGCAAGCACCTGGCAAGTAGCAAGACTGCCTTTGTTACAAATATGTTGAGTTTGACAGACCCGGTTACTGTTACCATGCATTCATCACTAGAAGGTTAATGAGAGAGTATTTCTTTTAATTTGTTGATGAAATTCTGAAGTGAAAAAAACCAACAGTCTGTTTGAAAGTTGGCCTCTGCAGCCTCGTTAATCCGGCCACCTTCGAATTCCGGACAAAATTTATATTTAGATATACAATGTTTCATTAATCCGGACGTTTCATTAATCCGGATAATTAGCGTCCGGATTTACGAGACTCGACTGTACTTATGAATTTTACTTTGTGATTATTCATGATATTCTTTATGGAATGTAGCTCATATAAATACTACATGTACATATACATGTGTTTTATGTGAATGAGAATGCAAGAACATTAATGAATATAATGACCATAGTTGGTTTAATTCTAACTGTATTTTTTGAATCCAAAATTAATTGATATCTGGCACATTAATGTAAATGAAAGCGCTGTAAAACAATATTCAGATACATTTATTGGTTCTGTCGGATAATTCAGATAAAGTTTATAATATATCATACAGCAATCTCTTCCCATACTCTCGCCCTAACTCTTTTATCTTTTAAACTGAACCTTTGTTAATTTACGTATTGCACTTAAGTGTATGATAATTTACACACGTCTTATTTCATTGAATCATTATGACGTATCTTTAAAAGCTGTAAAAACAGACAAAAGCAATTTCCAAACACTTTGTCGAGACGAAAGGATTAAAGTATTAACGCGTGTAACCCCGTTCGTCAGCATGTGCATACTGCCGTACGCGCCTGCTTCCACTTTGAAAGGTCTGCTATACAGAAATAGCTTTTGTATAACTCCTTGTTTGTTTGTAGATGTTTATAATTAAGAGCCATTCTCTGTAATGACTTAAACTTTTATATAGGAGCTGTGGCACGCTTAGTCTCAGAATTTCTCCAAACTCTCTATGATAAAAGTCTTTGATACCGTAAACTCAAATCAGGCACAAATTGGTTGCTACGTGTCATGGTTACCATAGCAACATGTCCTAAAGTTTGAAAAATGGCATTTTTCAACATCTTCAGAGTCCCACAGTTAACGTTTGCAGCAAAGCAAACAAGTGGCAATGACTGTTTCTGAAAGTTGAAGGCCTGGTGTCTTAAATGCATGATAAACATGTTTGGTAAATCATCTATAACATACGTCACTATGGAAACAAAGTATTCAAAAGTAATAATTTTGTTCATTTAATTTTATGAAGTCACACACTTAAAAATAAAAACAATTATAGGTTGAAATGCAAGCAAATAATAGAGAAGAGATCCTTGTAACATATACCAAGGACAAAATATGATATTTCTTATAGGTTAGCAATGGTTGCCATGGTTTTAATACCACGAAGGGATTTTAAATTTACTCTCTTAGTGTTTTAATCTTATCCTATCTTTTTAAAAAGCATATTTCTATATAACTGATGATCAATTTTTAAAGGCCTTGGTGTGACCCTAATTTTCACATTTCAAAAAATTCAATTTCAATTCTTTAAATAGTGCGTTGCTATGGAAATAAGGCGAAAACACGTGCATAAAAATCTGAAAAATACACCGTTTCCTTGGATACGTACCGTTGTATGTAGATTCCCAAAACTTTAATGATTGATATATGTGAACAACTAACCTGACTTTCAATTTTGACTATCACCCAATCTTAACTGGATGCAAAAAGCTGGCACATAGGGTCTAATATTGACAAAAAATTAACAAAATCGAATATTTTCTCTTCTTGGTAACCATAGCAACAGTGTTGTATTTTTCAACAACCTTTATCAATATATGATATTCAACTTTAGTTCTATGAGATAAGTACTATTCAAGGTGATTCAAATAATATTTTTCTTGATTAAAAGGTTAGTAAATTCCTAAAGCAGCAAAAAAATATCACTTTAAACAACTAGTACGTTGTTTCCATGGTTACACTGCAAAGTAACAATTAATCTCAATTTTTTCTTATGTTGTCGGTGTTGCAAGGTCCTAAGGATGCAAGCTGACATATGTTCCTTGCATGTCAGTAAGCATGTAAATATTGTTTTCCAAGCATATAAAATTAAATGCGCAAACATATAAAGCAATGATCAAATTGTGAACTTGGAAGCAGTATTTTCTGTTATTTGAAATTATCGCCCTTATAATTTTAAATTACATTGATTTTTTTTGCAAACATAAACAATTCTGCCAAATTCATTTTAAAGTAAAAAGATCAAGAAAAAACATTTTATAATTAACTCTATAATAACCGTAAGAAATTTGTCTCTATTCTCGAGTAAGTATTTTTTTTCCATTATCTTCATTGTAAATAACTTTGAAACATCCATATATTACGCATATATATTAGGTTTTTTTCACAGTGCCAAAGAATAATTGAGTCAGACGGTCAAAAAATAAAAAGAGAGAGAGGGAGATAGTGGAGAGAGAGGGGGGCAGTGGCGAGAGAGAGAAAGGGAGGAAAGGGAGTGAGAGAGAGAGGTAAGGGAGTGGGAGAGAGAGGAAAGGGAGTGAGAGAGAGTGGGGAGGGAGAGAGGGAGTGGTCAGAG